GTTTTAGCGGTGAATTCCTTAGAATTTTCTGCAAGGTCATGTCACTTGTGGAAAGGGATAGTTTTTCTTCTTCCTTTCCAATATGGATGGCTTCTGTTTTTTTCTCTTGCCTAATTTCTCTGGCTAGAACTTCCAGTACAGTGTTGAATAGATACGGTGAGAGCAGACATCTTTGTTTCATTCCTGATCATAAGAGGACAGCTTTCATTCTTTCACTAGTAAGTATAAGATTGGCTGTGGGTTTTTCATTAATGCCCTTTATCATGTTTAGGAAGTTCTCTTCTATTTCTAGTTAGTTGTGGGTTTTTCTTAAAAAAGAATCATGAAACAGGGTTATATTTTATCAGATGCTTTTTTCTGTATCAATTAATATGATCGCATATTTCATTTTCTCCATTCTAATAATACGGTGTGTTACACTGGTGGATGCTTGTGTGTGAAACCACCCACACATTCCTAGGATAAATCCTACCTGGACATGTGGTATAATTCTTTTAATATGCTATTGAAATCAGTTTGCTCGCTATTGTTGAACTTTTTTGCATCTCTATTCATAAGGGATATGGGCAGTAGTTTGTTTCTTGTGATGTCTTTGTGTGGCTTTGGTATCAGAGTACTGGCCTAATACGAAGAGTTAGGAATATTTCCTCTTCTGAAAAAGATTGAGGTTAATTCTTTTTCAAAATTTGGTAGAATTTGAAAATGGCATTATATTTTCTTGTTTTAGGGTATGTGGGCGGGGGGGGCGGTGAGTGTGTGTATTTGTTTGTATCCCTCACTGTGCTTAGCAGGGTACCATACACAGAAAAAGAGATCTATAAATGCTTGGATAAATTTCTAGACAAGTAAGAACATTCATTAAAAAATGTAAATCAACTTATACGAAGCTTTTCAGAAATATGCCCGCTTTGTGAATATGTTCCTGTAACAGCATTTCAGCCAAGCCCTGAAATAAAATGTTCAAAAGGCTAGCAGGGCGGTGGAGATACAAACACACACTATGGAGAGAGAAAAAGAGGAGCAAGCTCTATTAAGTGGCTTGAAAGGAATCCTTGGAGGTAATACACTTACCATCCAAGGAGAAACTATGTAAAAATCCATAAAGAGATTAACAAGCAGAACTGTGGCTGACGAAAACCAGATTAACTCTGCCAAAGACGAGAGCCGTAAAATGCACCAAGAAAATATCCAACAATAAAAAGAGAAATTATCTGCTGGTAAAAATTCATGATTCTGAAAGTAGACACCACCAGCCTAATTTAATAATTGTAGGATCCCTGATGGAAGGAAAAAGCAGGATATGGTTGAGTCTTTTTCAAAATTTAATTAAAACCAACACAGCACTTATGCCCCTGCTCCTCCAAGATTCAAACAGTTTCACAGTGTAGGAGCAGACAGGCCACGGTCAGAGGCAGTGACTCACCATATTTTCAGAAGGGGATTTTAAGAATCAAAGAGGCACACTTCAGAATTACAAGGCATAAAGTTCCACATGCAGCTTACAAATCTGTCCTTCCCTGTCTATTCCCTGCATGTTCCTGCAGCATTCTGCACATAGACAGTGTGCACTGAATGAGGGCTGGCTCCTGCCTGCCTCACAGCCAGCCCCTGGCAATGAGGCAGTCATCAGGGCCTTCACGTCTCCCTGGGAAGAGGAGCATTTTCTCTTCCATGCCCAGGATGGAAACTTACAAGATCACCCCCAGACATAAAGGGAAGCCAAGATTCTAATGTATATTTTAGGTCTGCTTGATATTTGGTGAGATATAAACCCTACTGTTAGATGTTTCTCTTTTTTACTACCTGCTGGAAGAATACAGGACCACATGCTAATTGCAAAATCCCTTTTTGAAAATCTTCAGATTCACACGCTGCTCTTAGCATTTGTACTTAGCAGGCATCAGTCAAAATTTGTTAGATTTATTGGATTTAGCACAAAACAATTTGAATACTAACTTTTGCTTTGAAAGACATTTTATACTATCCGAAAGAGGGGAAAAGAGAGAAAAACGGCAAGGAAAAATGGTGGTTAGCAGGAAAGCAAAGGCTCTACTGGATTTGGGTCATCTTGGCAAGCTGCAACAAGCAAACATCCATGACATTTGCTGTTACAGATTCACATCGCCTGTAACCCATTCCTTACAGTCCTCCATCCAGGAAGTCAAGCTTATTGGTGAGTGATTTACTTGCAGAGGTGTTGAGCTGGACACAGATAAATAATTTTTACAATGAGGTCTCTGAAAAACACCGATTAGAAACTTCAAAATCTGCTCCAGAACAAAAAAGGCATAAATATGAATTATCTTTATTAGAGTTCTTATTGGATGCTATATGCTTTTACTTTCAGTGGTAGAATTTTGACCCTAGAAGTCTAAATAAATAAACAAAAAGCACTGGATACACAAATTTTTAATTAAAATGGACTCATCTAAAGATTTTCTACACTGGAGGAAAAGGCAAATTATTTAGTGATGCATCGAGGTGTCCAAAGTTCATTAATGTCAATAGCTAGGAAAAAAACTATGAGATCCCAGGGTCTCACATTTATTAAATCAGATAAAAATTCAAAATTTCTCTCAAACATTTTCTTATGAAATAGTTAAATCAGTTGCCACTTTCTTTTCAAAGTTTTAGTGAGTTCATTAAACTAGATGGTTAGGAAACTCTTTTCGTAAGTTTATTCCCTCTTGATTTCTCCTCTAATTCATTAGCTCTTCATTCTTAATCTGATACTTCATGGAAAATTTTTCTGTTGTTTTTTTCTCTACAATAGTACCTATGATATATGAATTGCACGTAGATTTTCAGTGCACTGACTGGTTATATGTGGCTTACCCAGTCACTCAAGCAAGCTGTAACCTCAAGCCAATATATGTATGTATAAGTATAGATATGTGCATGTCTGCCTCCAATAGCCATTATCAATCCATTGTAGTAGCATTTTGTAATTATTTACACTTCATTGTTTATAAGGCATTTTCTTTAATAGTGTCTAGCTTAAATCTGGTGAGTTAGGTAATTTTCATCCCCATTTTATCAATGGTAAAAACTAGGTTCTTATAAGTAGAAATAATTAACAATTTCACCTAACTACACATATCTTCTGCACATGTATTTTTATGAGTCCTGGCTTAAATTTATATATGAACCAATATAACCTAAGGGTTGAGACCAAAGGCTTTGCAATAAGTCTGAGTTCAAATCCTAGCTCACCAACTTACCACCCTTGACAAATTACTTAAACTCCTTAAGTTTTAGTTTCCTCACTTAAAAAGAGGAAGTATGACTATTACACAGGGTTATTGTAAAGATTAACTGTGACATGTCTGACTCTTTTTAGCAAGTATTAGTAATCTATTATAACAATAAACATGATAGTACAAATGATGTTGTTTTGTTATTGTTTATGAATCTAACTGCCATAGATTTGTTCTTTTATATTCACTGAATTAAATTTAATTCTTACCCTCTCAATAAATTAGAAAAGGCACCCTTAAGTATCCACATACACTCATAACATAAAATTTCGGTCAATGACAAACCACAAACACGATAGTGGTCCCATAAGATTATATACTGTGTTTTTACTGTAGCTTTTCTGTGTTAGATATACAAATCCTTGCCAATTACAATTTCATGTAATATTCATAACAATCACATGCTGTACAGGTTTATAAGAGAGCTATAGTTTGTAGCTCTCCCACATGGCCTGGGTCTTCAGTAGTCTACATCACCTAGGTCTGTGTGAGTACATGCTACGGTGTTCATGTTCACAGAATGATGGAATCACCTGACACGTCCCTCATAATGTATTTCTGTTGTCATGATGTGTGACTCTGTTTGCCTAAAAAAGTAGCCACTGGGGCATGAAGCTAAGTTCAGGCTGTGTGGACAGGAGAAGTCAGCAAGGCTTGGAGGAGTATTTGCCAGGTGGCTGTCCCAGGGAGGAGCTGCAGTAGCTACATGAGTGGTTTGGATGGATGAGGCAGGAGAGGAGCAGGGATAGGGAAAAGGAGGTGGCGATGTGGAGGGTAGGGGTAAAATAATCAGATTTGTGCCTGAGAGAGCCTGCCAAATTAGAAATCCTAGTGCCTTCCATCAGCTCCTGCCCCACACCTTTTCTTCTAGGTCATTCAGGGCTGCTTGTTTCCCAGATTTTGCTTTTTTGGCATAAAATGTTTTACCCCATAATTCCACTTGCCTTACAGTGCCTCTCCCATGAGAGTCACTCCTAGGTCAGCCCAAGGTCAAAATGCCAGGGACTCTGGTTTTCTCGAAATACCACAGTGATGGTTTCATGTCACTCCATGAGTGGTCTCCCTTTTCAGCTGCATCTGTTTTTACCCTCCTCCTTCTAAGTCAGATGCTGGAAATTTCTTTTTTAGAATTTCATCCTTTTTTCCACTCCCAAGCCCGAAGCTGAGCTAGTGCTCCCTTAACAGCTAGTCTTGGGAGAAGTTGTCTCTGTTCTCATTGAAAGCAAGATCCATCCCCTAACTTTTGGTTAAGTAGCCCTTGTTGAGATTCAGTAAAGTGCTTCAGGGTACCAGGTTAGCAGCAGCCTGCCTAATGCAGACCCTGCCCTGCAACTTTTTGGTTATGAGCCTCAGCAAAGCCACTTAACCTCTTGATTGATCAGTTTCCTCTCTATATAGTACAGGCACAATAACAGAACCAAACTCCTAGAGTTGGTATTAGTTAATATTGTTAGTGTTTATGGCAGAGTATATTACCAATTAAGTTCTATTCAAGTGTTTATTAAATAAAATAATCCATAAATACTTGATCTTAAATTATGTTTCAGGCATGTACCTACAATCCCAGCTACTCAAGAGGCTGAGGTGAAAGCATCGTTTAAGGCCAGGAGTTTGATTTAACACCAGCCTGGGGAACACAGAGAGACCTCATCTCTAAAAAATATCTCTGTCTTACTTTGTTTGGGTTGCTATGACAAAAATACCACAGAGTAGATAGTTTAAACAACAATATTCATTTCTCACCATCCTGGAGGCTGAGAAGTCCAAGATCAAGGTGCCCGCAGATCCAGTGTCTGGAGAGGGCCTGCTTTCTGGTTCATATGTCACATCTTCCTCCTATGTCCTCCTATGGTGGAAGAAAGAAAGAGAACTCTCTGTGGCCCCTTTTATAATAAAAGCATTATATTCATTCACGAAGAATCTATTCTCATGGCCTAGTCTTCTTCTGGAGACCCCACCTCCTACTGCCATCTCATTAGGAGTTAGGATTTCAACTTACGATTTTGGGGGGAAACGCAAATGTTCAGTCCACTACAAACTCACCTGCCACAGAAACTTCCCGAACTAGCTTGTCCTCTGCCTAGCACTTCTACTTACTTGCTAGCCAGCCACCAGCAACTTTAATTCACAAAGAAAACAATAAAAATCATGCAAATTTCATTTACCTAATGTATCAGACTCACCAACTCCCTCATACATGAATATGCTCTCTTGAAATTGATTATCTACTTTCCCAGGCCCATGTTTCTGGGCTATTGTCTCTTCTTAAACATCAATATAATAAACAGCATTGCTTTCACTGACATCCTTCTAGCTGTGGTCCCCCAGGCCAAAGCCCTCTCCCAGTGGTACCCAGAAACTCTGGACAAGTATGAGGGTGGGCATTGAGAGGAAAGTAAAGGTAGAGGATGGCTGTGGGGACTGCTATGAGTAGGGCTTGCTCAGGTGTTAGAAGGAAGAGCTGGTTACAAGATTGATTTCTGCACCTCCCCAGTGGTTGTACCCACAGCTGATCCTGAAGTTAGCTATGCTGTATGGCGCACAAGACAAGAAAAGCCTCTCCTCCTTACAGCCCAGGAAACCTGTCCTCTGGTGTTCCTAATTTTTGCCTAGTCAGACCACAATTTTACAGTAGCTAAAGTAGCTTTCTAAACAGGAGGTCTAGTTTTTCCCTTTGTGATATACTGGCAATTTATACAGAGCAGCTGTCACGGAGGGTGGAGGTCAGTAAGCTGCATCATGTACATATCTGTTTATGAAGTGAAAGATCGTATAAAGCCTCTTTTTCTCCTTTTGATCAGAAACTTATTCCTGTCATTCCCCTGAACATCCCTCTGTGGTCAGACCTTTAATGAACATATGAGGCGAAAGAAATTAGCCCTGTGATTTATCAGACCCTGTGATTTAGACATGACTGAAGTTAACGACCTCAGTGCCCTGCTTCTCTTTGGCAATGGAAAATTTCATCATATGCTGGAGAGAGAGGATAGGTAGAACCAAGTATTCAAATCTTAATTTTAGGCTGTAATTTCACTAAGAGTCTTAAGAGCAAAGATGGGGTTTTGATATGAATGCAGAGCGTGCATAGGTTCCTAGTAGATACAGTAGGCTTTAAGTTCCTCTTTTGTATTTCCCCCAGTGTCTGCACAACATTCTGTCCATACATGCTCCATAGGAGATCAATATTGGTTGATTTAGTGCATACATAGTAATAATGTGCTTTCTGTACTCGAAATGGTATGGCAGCTGAATTAACAGTTAAATTACTTGCGGTTTCCCATTGATGTCAAATGAAATGGCAAAATTAAGAGCTATATGTTGATGAGTGAACACATAGTGCAAGCATCAAGGAGCACAAAGAGGCATCTCCCTGTGAAGGAATTTAATTGGCTTAAAAGAACAACTGACTGCACAGTTACCTTCCCCTTTTTCTATTTTCTGTGCATAAAGGTATTATTTCAGCATATGTATTTTTAGCACAATGTAGACAGAAAGACTGGAAAACTATCAAAATTAAAACATATTTGAAGTGAATCAGACAGCATGTATAAATAGTACAACTTTATTCACATCTCCCTAATGAGTGAGCCTAGCTTCATGAGTTGATGTTTCCAGTTCCTGTTTCTCTTTCCATCCATGAAGTCCATCAATCAACTTCAATCAATATTTTTCAAAGGCAGTAGGGCTTTTGCTACTGGCTGATTAACAAAGGGCTATTTAATCTTTGTCCATCACTTTTACCTCCGAATTCTAGGTTCATATCCAATTGGCTTGAAAATCTGATTGATTTAACATTATCACTTTTCTGGAGATCTCAAAATTTGTCAATGAGCCTTTAAAAAATACTCCACTTATACAGGCATGGTGTATTTAATGAATTATTATACTAAAATCAGAGATTAAGGTAAATATTTCATCATTTCTATTCAGTCATTTTAAAATAGCATGAATAATTTGTATATCAATGTTTCTAATGTGTACTTGTTTATATCTAAACTGATATACTGCATTGTCATATCAAACTACATGGCTTATTGAAAGTGATGCTGGAACAGGAAATATGAATAGGGCTTGTTAATAATAATATTGTTTCAACAATAGTAATAACCCAAAATAAAAGGTATATATGTGGATTGTGAACAAAAATTAGTTTCATCAAATTAGTTCTGTAAATAGAATGCTTTCATAAACACAGACTTGGACTTATAAGGGTGAGGATCTGTTATATTTTTAAACATTATCCAAAAATAAGTTTTCTAAACCTTTATACACTTAGAGAATGCATGTGTACTATTATGTATAATATTCATCCAAATTATAATTACAAGATAATAAAATTGTCTTGTGTTAATTAAAAAGAGACCTTAGCACTATAAATACCACACAGAAATGCTGAGTGAAAAATTGTGTTAGTCATGCCAGGATTTCCACTCTGGCTATGTTGAGTACACAGGAGTACAATGACATCCCTGTCAAGAACAATGAGAAAAGTGAGATAAAACACACAGTTATAAGTTTGAAAGCAGCACAAAGCTGCTGAGACAACCAGAAAGTGAGGGGCCAAGATGTTGGAGAGAAGAGAACCAAGGAGAGATAAGCCTACTTCTTAGACCCGTTTTTCCCAGTTGCTGATTTTTAGCATTGGGTAAAAGGTGAAAAATCTGAGGTCAAGACCTGGGCCAGGAGGCCAATAGGCCAGCTGAACATCTCAGTTTGACAGCAATGGAGAGACAAAAATTGAACTCAGGGCCTCAAGGCAGCTTACATCCTGTAAAAGGGGGAGGATGAACAAGTGAGCATAAGGTCAAGGTCTTTACCAAATTCTTTAGCTGTGAATCAAGAGGTTAAGAAACTGTGACTCTGAAAATTAAAACAGAGTTTTCAGTAGTTTTACTGGGGCTAGGAAATAAATATTGCAGTTCAGAACCCACCAGTGAGTTGCGGATTTCTGTAAACACCCCCAATCTTTAGAGACTAACCCTTGGAGCAGTATAGACATGAGTTAAGAGGAGCCTTACAAAAATTGTAATCTGGCTCAGGGCAGCTCAGGTCCTGACTGAGTGAAAATGAAAGTTTCTCTTGTCTAACACAAGTTTTGATATGCTATGTATTTTAAATATGCACACATTAAAATATTTTATAAGAATATTTAGATAATTGTGAATGTATGCATAAAATATATCAAAAAATCACACAAATGCTACATCATTTATAATTATTTTATATATTTTAAGTAATAGCATATAAATATATATACAATGAATATATAAACAAAAATATATATTTTATCATTTTGTTATTTAAAGATCTAATGAATACATGAGCATAAAAATTATATTTCAAATATTACAAGCTGTATGCATGCATTTTAGATGATAGCCAAAGAAAATCCTATGGATATTTTTTAAAGTATTAAAAGTACAGGATACTGTGCCAATATCCTCTGTGCCAATAAGTAGAAAGATTTTATGACAGACTCCTGAAGAAGCACAATTAAATAACTAATACAAGAAGAAATACCAAATCTGAATAGGCCTGTATCTACCAAAGAAATTGCATCTGTTATTAAAATATTTCCCCAAAGGAAATACACAGATGAGAAATCTTCACCAGTGAATTCTTCCTAACATTTAAGAAACAAGCCTATTCTTAAATAAACTCTTCCATATAATAGAAAAAGAATAAATACTACCCAGTTGAATAATTAATTTAATGCTAATTGCATTCAATTGTACCAGATATATTATTGGTATCATTATATCAATAATAATTCAATAATAAGAGTGTAATAATTATTTTACCAGGAAAAAAGTCAGCAAGAACTTGTGCCAAAGAGTCCCAAAGACTTCTTCACAATAGCATTAAATTTTCTCAGCGACTATCTGCAAATTTAATCTTCTCAGTGATCATTTGCAAATACCCCTGATTGCAGGTTTTGCTCATCACTGTTTCCTTAAAATGACAGTCAAGGATGCTAAAGATGGTCGGAACATACAGCTATTCCCATTGTGGTCTCCGTTTTCTGAGTCAGAACTCTTCAGTTAGATAATTAAAGTCTCATACACAAATGACTAGCTTATGGTTCCCAGAGTAGAATGACTTTCTCAATCACAGATACAGAACAAAACATAGAGGCTCCTGTATCCGACAAAGCTGATGTACACAGGACCACATGTAACGTGTACTTAGATTCCTCTTCAGCAGCAAGCACAGTGCTTTCACATAGTAGACATTCAACACATTTTCATTACTTTGTTGGAAAAAAAAAAACACACAACATGCAATTTGACTGAACTGTAATAAAATCAATTAAGATATTTATGTTTACTTTTTATGGAGTTTAGAAGGACATAGCCAAGTTTGCTAGGTCATTACTGTCATTATATTTGAGGGTCATCATGAAAAAGGAAGGCAAATATTGATTATAAAAATCCTGTGAATTCCAAAGAGTACACACTACATCACGGAGAACTCACTTTTGAATTCCTGTTCTCTGAGAAATGTGTGCTGGCTAATGTTTTGGTTTGAGGGCTCCAGATATTAGGAAAAGAAAAACAAGAAAAATCAGTTAACTGGCTGAGCAACATGGTGCTCAGCTCCCCCAGATTCAGAGGCTAAATTTTATCCCTAAGAGAATTTCTCACAATACGACCTTGGCAGTCATATACCCAAAAAGTTGGTTAAGAAAAATTGTGAAGTTATTCTGTAGTGAAGCAAAGCATAATGATAGCAAGTTTTACATTTCCAAATAGCAGGAAACTTCACTATTCCAGTATCACCAACTAAAGTGTTTGGTGTTGAGGTAGAAAAAGAGAAGACAGATAAAAGGAAGTGAGGTAAAGTGTGCCAAAGCTGAGCTTGAACCAGTGTTTTCTAATTTTTCACATTCTTTTAATAGTTGATAATCAACAGCAGGCAATAAACCATCTAAAAGATGAACCATACACTTTTAAACACACAGGCTCATTTTGATTTACACCTAAACTTCAGAAAACATACATCATCATGAAGTCCTTCAATAAAAAATGACAGATTAGTGAAAATAAACGACTCGATTTAAACACACACACACACACACACACACACACACAGATTTTTCACTTTTACTTTTAATGAGAGAATCCGAAGTTTTGTTTTCCCCTGAAGTTAAATTCAATTTTGTGTTGTATTAAATGTTTGGCACTTTTCTCTGCAGCTCTGAAGCAGCCCAAACGTAATTTGAGTTAATTTATGAAATGCACTTTGTATACCGGTATTTATTGTCTGAGATAAATAGTCAAAATATATCAGATTTATTGACGTCCTGAGAAAGGGGCATTATGGCTGCTTAGACTGAACCTCTGGGCGAAATGAATATTCAGAGAAATGAAAGCAGACTGCTGGTATGTGCCTTAAGAAAAACAACAACAAACAGAATAGCTGGGAAAAGGAAACTGCATACAGTCTAGCTATTTTAGAGTGACGTGTTTAGCACTGATTGCAAATAGACCTCTGAATGTGGGCGATGCAGGGAACTTTTCTATAAAAATGGGCACAATAGAACAAGGACATGCAGAATTGGATTTGCTTTATTTCAGTTCTCTTCTTAGAAAATAACAGAAAAAGAATGCCTGAAGAATTTATGAGCAATAAGCTCTTGAGCATGTTTTTATAGCATTGTAGAATGAAAGAAATCATGCTCAGTTCTCAGACAAGATCAAGGCAAAAGGACAATCCTGACCAATGTGGTGAAACCCGGTATCTACGGATAGTACAAAATTGGCCGGGTGTGGTGGTGGGTGCCTGTAATCCCAGCTACTCAGGAGGCAAGGCTGGAGAATTCCCTGGAGCCCCAAAGGTGGAGGTTGCAGTGAGCCAAGATCAGGCCATTGCACTCCAGCCTGGGTGACAAGAGTGAAACTCCGTCTCAAAAAAATAAAAATAAATAAAACAAAAAATAAAATGATGCTATGAGTTAAGGTTTGGAAATCAATTATGATTTTTAGAATTTGAAGAATGTAAAGGAAATAAATAATTTAGGTAAGTTTGTTGCCTAGACGGCGTTATAAGAAATTAAGAAGAAAGCCCTCAGCTGAAAAACTGTTGGTTTATTGATTTTAACGTCACTCTTCAATAACTAGTAGTTTACTCTCTACTTCCCCTACTCACACCCTTTGTGAAATATATCTAATTCCAGAATTGGTAGAAATATGTCTAATATATTTTTGACTTGTTTTTAATTTTAAATTCACTCTTAAAATTTCTATTTGTTTCACTTTCCAGTCTGCTTTCTTTGTTTCTGTAACATAGGTAGAATCCATTTCTTCATCTATAAAAATTCTAAACATTATCATTTAAGTTCCTTTCCAGATTTCTCTATTATCTGCAGTCTCAAGAAGGTTTTCCTGTTGTTTGCGTTTGGTTTTTAGTTTTAGTTTAGGGTTATCTGTTAGTTTTATGGTATTAGTTTCTTGTCCATGTTATAGAACTTTTTTACCTGTACACACAGAGGGCATGGAATTCTAATTTCTCACAGGGGCCTCTGTTTCTATCTATAACTAAGGGTGGGTGCATGGCTTCCAGGAGACTTCCTTAGACACTAGATTTAGGGCTGGTTTTATCCAAGTTAAAAAATGAAACAACACTCATATTCCACAGAGTGTCTTAGACCCTAGTCCCCATTGGTATGGAAACCCAGACACCTGAGAAAAATATTCAGCCTGATAGCCCTGAAACTCCCCATGCAGACTGTGGTTCATCTCCATGACTCTGCATTTCTCTTTCTGGCAACTCAAGATTTTCCCTTTCATGTTTTTGAGCTTAGGCAAATATTTTGCTTTGTTTTGTTTTAAACAAGTTGAATTTTATCCAGAATTCCATATATCTGGGATACTGCCATAGCTGCCCAACTCAGCTTTGTCTATGGCAGGGCACCAAAGATGGACAACAACACTCCTGCCACTTTGCCTTTAACATCAATGTCGTTTTTACTTATAAAAGCCAATCCATGCAACAATGTCAGAACACATTCTACCAGCAAAGTGACAATGAAAAACATCAGTTACCATGGGCCGTATTTCATAGGCAGGTGATTTTGCACATAATTTTAGAAGCCAAATTATGTGGATAATATAGTTATCAGATAGCACGAATAACTTAGCCTGGAAAGAAAGAAAAGTCCTATTCAATAAAAAGAAATCATAGTCAGAGGATACTGAAAAATAGCATAGTTGTATATGGACAGCATATTAAGCATTTGGTGGTGGTGATGTTTGAGAAGTGTGTATGTGTGTATGTGTGTGTTTGTGTGTGTGTGTGTTGGGAAATTTTAGTTTCATTTGATTTTTGTTTTTAAGGTTTGTTTATTTGAATCAACACCCTTTCTCTTGGCTTGTTTTTCCATAGTCAGTCTTGGTTCACTGAGGCATTTTTCATTAAACCAAGTAATAGTTTTCCTCCTCATTTTTTCTTTTAGACCAAGATTAAAATTGGCCTGCAGATCAAAGACCATGGCAAAAAATTCCTGACATTGGAAACTGCCTTCCAAAACATCCCTGTGCCTCATCCCCTTCTACATATTCCATATAAAGAGATTGTTTTGTTTTCCACCTGGCAACGCTTAAATTGTTTTATTTTTCTTCGTTAAAACCACCATGCCTCTCCAGTTAACTCACGTTTTAGCATCTTGATTCAGCAGGATCCTAAAAACTTTTATTTTTGTTGTCGTTGCTTCTTTTTGCTTCGGGGAGAAATAAAAAAGAAACAAGTTAAAGAATATATAGTTAACCCTTCTTTAAATATATATAACTAGATTTCTAAAGGAATGAAAAAATACGGTACTAGCGGGAAAACTCTGCAGTCAAATCTATATTTAACTTGAAATCCCACAGCTTGTTGTGGGTGTGTTTGACATCCTCTCATACCTGCTAAGTCCCCTTGAGTACTCAGTAAATATTAATTATGGATATTTGACCATTTCTTTCTTCTAATGGAATCTTCAGCGCCAATTTTGAAGTTCCCATTTTGTGCTAGTGCAGCCTTCAACACAGGTCTTTTCTTCGTTTTGGAATGTAAACACGATCTGCCTATAAGAAGTAACTGTGCATTTTTGGGGTCCTCAAAAAGAAGTCATATTTACATAGAATTACACAGAATGAAATCCTAAAACAAACAAGAGAAACTGGTTTTTATATCTCGGTTTCTAAAAGCAAAAGAATAACGCCAGATTCTAACCAAACATTCTATGTTCCAAATATGTTTTACATTGTGTGCTAAGTTCCTCTGATGCTCTTATTGACCATCTTGTAAATGGCTTAAGTAGTTACAGTTCCCTAATTAGGAGAATATAATGGCAGTGGCAAATGCCACCAGAGTGCCTTAGCCTGTTTCTTACCAATTTGACCTGACAATCTATTATGTTTGCTGTAAATCTAATTGCATAGCGATCAGTGAATGACATGAATTGTCTCAGCTCAGTTTAGAATTTTATTTTGTAATGGGCAGAGATGTATTTTTAAATGTGACACAAATACAAACATATATGTACATATGTGTCTATATATGTATATGTATGTATGTTTGTTTATATGTGCATATACATAGACAAGTATGTATATGTACAGTATATATACACTATGTATACTATATATACTGTATATTATATACAAGGCTCTTTTTGTTTTCCCAGATTTGGAGTCTCACCATGCTGCCTAGGCTGGTCTTAAACTCCTGCCCTCAAACTATCCTCCTACTTTAGCTTCCCACAGTGTTGGAATTACACGCATGGGCCATTGTGCCCAGCCTATATACAATGTTCTATATAAGGTATTTTCCTTATCTTTCAATCAAATTAAGGTAGATTTAGCTCTATAAGAGAAAAAAAAAACTATGATGTATTTCCACTGTGATTTTTAAGTAAATAAAAAACTTTATAGCAGTTTTAAATCTGAACTGTAAAGATTCGATTTGTATAAATGTTCAGAAACATATCTTTTTTTTTTTTTGAGATGGAGTTTCACTCTTGTTACTCAGGCTGGAGTGCAATGGCACGATCTCGGCTCACTGCAACCTCCTCCTCCTGGGTTCAGGCAATTCTCCTGCCTCAGCCTCCTTAGTAGCTGGGATTATAGGCATGTGCCACCGTGCCCAGCTAATTTTTTGTATTTTTAGTAGAGACGGGGTTTCACCACGTTGACCAGGATGGTCTCGATCTCTTGACCTCATGATCCACCCACCTCGGCCTCCCAAAGTACTGGGATTACAAGCATGAGCCACCGTGCCCAGCCCAGAAACATATCTTTTTTTTCAAGCAAGATTCACCTTCATTTGTTTTCCTCATCATAAACTGCATACTTAAGTAAGAGACTTTGAACTTCTCTTCTTCAGGTAGCAACCGTAACTCCAACCACATGGATTTCTTGTTTGTGGATTGCATATTTCAAATGGAATTTGTGCTCATAATTCAAAACTCTTGGTAAGAATTTAGGTCATTCCATGTACCCTGTTCTGCTGTGCTTAGTCAAATTTTCCCAAGTCCAAAACTTTCAATAAATAATACGAACTGATAATCCCGGTCCCAAGAGTCAAGTGGGATTAAAAAAGCAAGAAAGAATTCTGCCTGCTCATCTAATCACAAATAGAAATTGTGAAGATCTTGCTTGTCTGAGTTCTGTGAAAATTCACTGTGAGCCTTGGTTTCGCTTTTTATCTGTTCATCACTCAAACTCAGATGAAAATATCCCACTGCAAATTTTCCTACCTAAGATAATATTAGTAAGAATTGTTAACACTTACAGAGAGCTTATTAAGTGTCAGGTACCATTGTAAACCCTTTACACAATTCATCTCCTTTAATCCTCATAATTCTGCGAAGTAGGAACTACTATTTTTCCAAAATTTAGAGATGAAGAAACTGAGGGACAATGATGTTAAAGTAATCTGCTGAAGACTACATAGCTTGTTAGTGGCAAAGCCAGTTTCAAAGAAAATTCCATTTGCGTTTGCCACTCACATGAACAAGGCATTGTAGAAGGACACGGTGCGACCGCAGTTTAGATATCACATGCTCACATGCATTCAGGCCAGTACATTTAACGAAGACAGTCTAAGAGTGAGAAAAGTGCTGGTCCAGGAATCAGCCGACCTCGATTTCCAGCATCACTTCCAGCCTAGCCCCTGATCAGCATTTAACCTTGAACAAGCCACTTAACCCCTGGGCCCAAATTCCCAATCTGCACAAGGAGAGATTAGATGTTCTCCAAGGTCCTTTTCAACTTCAAAGCGTATGTCTCGATGATTAATGGCTGAATGAATGTCACATTGATCTCACGACTTGTGGGTGTGTTGGCCATGTTAATGTTAAAACTACTAAAATCAATCTATCTGCTTGCTAAATAGAGATTCAGCCACAGTTTCTTCAGTTCAACAGGACTAGAGAAAAGATTGTTTTTCAGAGCTGTGAGTCTTCGAAATTTTTACCAGCACCAGTAGAAATTTGCTTATTCATTATAACATTCAATATAACATTAAGTAAATAATGTTTGAGTTCAAGTAATGTTCCAGGCATTGTTCTAGACACTGGGCAACAAAGGGTGAATAAGGCAAATAAATGTGACTCTGGTCTCATGAAGTTCCTAGCAATGTATGTTTGCATTTGTGTGTGTGTGTGTGTGTGTGTGTGTGTGTGTGTGTGTGTATGTGTAAACATTCACAAATGATACAGGTTGGGATAAATTCCAGAAAGAAGGTGAAAAAGTTTGCTATGACCCAGAACAGGAAGAAAAGCTCTTTTGATAGACTTTCTGGGGAAGTCTAACACTTTCTTAAAAATTGGAATGAAATTGTGTCTGTTTAGCAATCCCATTAAAATTAAGAAGACCTCTGTGTTCAGTCTGATTTCATAGACTATTTTCCTAATAGGGATTAGGCATTAAATCTCTGAAATTTGTTAGAATGGAAGGTCCACCTCTATCACTTTTGTTCAGTTGGCCTCTGTAATCCAAGTTACTTGCTTAGTAACAGATGGCTGCTAAGAGCCACTCTTTCTTGAGGTTGTCTTGAGGATTAAATACGATAATTGGTATACTGCACCTTTATAAGCCATAGAAAATAATAAACTATTAACGATTTTTAGTTATTTTATCTATATATGAAGATTTTATTCTTATAAAAAAGACCATCCTTCTCATTATGATATTTAAAATAAGTATGAGCCACCTTATGTACTAACTTTCTAGGATAATTCTAAATTGCTATTGAACTGAGTCAGCAAATGTCGTTCTTTAGATTATAAGACTCTCTGACAGTTTCTCAAACTTGAGCGGGCATCAGAATCGCCTAGAAGACTTCTTAAAATATGAGTTTTGGGGCCCCAATTGCAGATTTCTGATTCAATAGATCTGGGGTAAGGCAGAATTTACATTTCTCACCCTTTCCCAGGTGGCATGCATGCTGTTCTTCCAGGGACCACACCATAACACAGGAATTGCATCCCATTATATGCCGGGCACAATGTGAGGATCTCTGCATACTGTAAAATATCTGATTCTCAACATTACCCTGCAGTGAAGGCATCAAGACACCCATTTACACAGAAAGGAGAAGAAACTTGGTTAAGGTGTCAGAGTTCCCAAGGAATAGAGCTGGGTTTGAGCCTCAGTTTGCCTGTCCCAGAGCTATTACAGCATGTACTGTGCATTGATACACTTTCTAACCTAAAATTTACTGACAACTCTAAATTGATGCCTTGGAAAGATCGGACCCCAGCAAAATATCTACATGACTATGGCATTTCAGTTAGAAAATTCATAAATCAAAAGCAAACTGAATCTCAGGAGGCTTTCTATCATGATTGCATGTGCTGCCTAAAACCAAAAGTTAAAATAAAGTCTCATGAACCATATAAAAAATATTGGCTTAACATCCAATTTTCTTTGTTTATAAAATGAATGTAATACCTTACTTGAATTTTGAAAAATATCTCTCCACAGAGAGAAATGGATCATTCTGGAGGCTAAATCCACTCCAATCTCATTTTTGTGAAATATAAGTTTAATTAAAATGTTAACAACACACTAGAAAGATTTGAGCTGAGCGTAAGATGCTTGCTTGAGTTTTGATGACACGTAGGTAAAAACAAAGACAATCTGATATATCCCTCAACATTATTAGGATAGAACAAAATTCCTAAAATAAAGGAGCTATCATTTTAATTGTAATAGAAATGTCTTTTTCACAGCCTCACCTTATTCTTCAAAAGTTCGTAAAATAAGATACTTTGGCACTGACATTGGAAGACAGGAGAAAAGGCAAGATGAACTCCTTTCTTGGGATAATAGCCCTGAAACCTAGGACACAATTGGCATCCCACAAAGTGGAAGCTGGCATTCCTGTAAGGAGCTTTCCTCAGAGATGAATTCTTATTTGCATGTGTCATTTACAGCTTTGCCATGTGGGTTCAGATGAAAATGGAACTCAGAATGGGGGGCATAATTAATTGAATCGACTCAAGTCCTCTGACAAAAAACATGCAAGTGAAAACTATCAGAGGTTTTTACAGCTTCCTAGTAAGCTTCCACTCACCAGGAAGAATTCTGATTCCCTAAATGTATGACCCCATTTAAGTGAGTAAGCACATCAGACTTAGAGACAAACTCTGCATTTAATATCCTTTTGAAAGCATGCTTAATTTTTTTATCAAATATTTTGCTTGTGTCCTCATTTGCACATTTTCCCAATAGA